CACGTTTTTGGTCGTGCACTTGGACTGTAGCCCCGCCTGGCATGAATGACAGCACCTTCGTCCCGAGGGGCAGGGGGCTGGGTTCAGTCGTGTCTTGACCAGTCGTTTCTTCAGGGTGTTGTTGGTGGTCCATGCTATCTCCACTGGTAATCCAGAGTTGATTGCAACCTTCTTCACCTGAGCAGCCACCTTGTCATTAACGAAGGGCAGTCGGATATATGTGCCTTGCTTCTTCTTGTTCTGTTGTCGTTGATCTGGCCGTTCCCGTCGTTCTCTTCCTCTGTCTCTGCTTCTCTCCTCATGTTTCTTCATTTCCCTCCAACTGTACTCCTTGATCATCTTCATCGGATATCCATTACTGACAAACAGATGACGTATCTTCTCGAGCCCTCTTTTTCTTGCCGCTGTGTCTGAGCCAAGACGGATCGCCCTAGTGATCTGTGATGTGAGCACAGCCTTCTTTGTAGACCTGGCATGTGCCGAGTCATACGGCAGAATGATCGGTGCCGCCATGGGCTTGAAATACAGCTCCGTGCTGTATGAGCCGTCCTGTCGCACGCTTATCAGTGTGTCCAGGTATGGCAGCGTCCCGTCCTGGTCTGATCGCTCAATCGTGAATTGAATGGCCGGATGTCTCGAGTTGAGGAAGGCCAGATATTCAGTTAGCGCCTCGCTGCCGTGCGTCCAGAGACACCATATGTCATCGATGTACCTAACATACATGTCTGGCTGAGGTCTGTCCACCTGCAGTGCCTCTGCTTCCAGCTTCCCCATGAACACTATGGCCAGAGATGGCGCAATCCTGGATCCCATGGCTATCCCATGGGCTTGAACATCCCCAACGACAAGACCGTACGACATCCCCAACCACAAGACCGTCAACAATCAGCCCCGTCTGTTCTCGAGCGTGTCAAGAACATGTCCAACAGACCGATGAGCCAACCACTGGAGAAGCTGCTGTCCAGGGGACCGACGTTTGCGATGACCCAACAGGTCAATCCAAACATGATCCGTGAAGTGGAAATAGGCGTGGAGAGAGGCTACCATGCATTGAGATGGAAGACGCATAGGGAACGAGCGAACGAAGAGAGAGAACAACAAAACCAACGGAACAACGACACCGGAAGCCGCAACGAGATCAACGAGACAAACGAACACGAAGACGACCTACAAACAACAAATATGCCGCGTGACACAGATGGACAGCTAGCAAGCTCTCAGAACACGGACCTCGGCCAGCAGCAGACACTGAGAAAGCCACGATTCCCGAACGTCCCCACCCGACAAGCTAACCCACTAGACCGTGATACCGAACACTCCATGGGAGCACTTAAGAACAAAATATTGGCCATTTACCGCAACGCACCCAGGACGGCGCTGAACACAACAACAGAGGAGCGAAGAGAGCTACGCGAACTGTGCCAGGACAGTTCCGTAGTAGTGAAGCAGTCAGATAAATGCAAAGGGCTAGTTATCATGAACAAAGAGGACTATTTGGCAAAGGGAGAAGAAATCACCAGTGGCTATGAACAAGTAGATCAAAATCCTACGGCCAAAACTGAAGCAGTCACGAAGAGAATTATATCTGAAACAATCAAGGACAAGATAGGCAAAGACATTGTAGCTGCCATCCGCCCTCACCACTCGCGCTGCGCTGAACTCTATGGCTTACCGAAGACACACAAGGAAGGTGAGCCATTGAGACCTATAGTCTCTGGGATTGACAATCCAGTGGATAGGCTAAGCTGGTTGTTAGAACAAGTTACGTCACAGCTGCTGAGGTACATACCTGCACACTTGAAGGACACCGGTGAATTTCTGGATAGAGTAAAAGAAAAATATCCCACAGGATTCCCTGCTGGCAGCATCGCTTTCAGCGTTGACGTTAAAAATCTCTACGGGAACGTGCCAACCCAAGAAGCGATTGAAGCTGTCATGGAGCTCATACGTGAACACATCAACGAGCTGAATCTGTTTGGGCTGGTTCCAGAAGATGTTGAAGTCCTGCTCACCCACTGCCTACATAACAACTTCTTTCGATTCAATGAAAACTTCTACAAACAATCTGATGGGATAGCCATGGGATCCAGGATTGCGCCATCTCTGGCCATAGTGTTCATGGGGAAGCTGGAAGCAGAGGCACTGCAGGTGGACAGACCTCAGCCAGACATGTATGTTAGGTACATCGATGACATATGGTGTCTCTGGACGCACGGCAGCGAGGCGCTAACTGAATATCTGGCCTTCCTCAACTCGAGACATCCGGCCATTCAATTCACGATTGAGCGATCAGACCAGGACGGGACGCTGCCATACCTGGACACACTGATAAGCGTGCGACAGGACGGCTCATACAGCACGGAGCTGTATTTCAAGCCCATGGCGGCACCGATCATTCTGCCGTATGACTCGGCACATGCCAGGTCTACAAAGAAGGCTGTGCTCACATCACAGATCACTAGGGCGATCCGTCTTGGCTCAGACACAGCGGCAAGAAAAAGAGGGCTCGAGAAGATACGTCATCTGTTTGTCAGTAATGGATATCCGATGAAGATGATCAAGGAGTACAGTTGGAGGGAAATGAAGAAACATGAGGAGAGAAGCAGAGACAGAGGAAGAGAACGACGGGAACGGCCAGATCAACGACAACAGAACAAGAAGAAGCAAGGCACATATATCCGACTGCCCTTCGTTAATGACAAGGTGGCTGCTCAGGTGAAGAAGGTTGCAATCAACTCTGGATTACCAGTGGAGATAGCATGGACCACCAACAACACCCTGAAGAAACGACTGGTCAAGACACGACTGAACCCAGCCCCCTGCCCCTCGGGACGAAGGTGCTGTCATTCATGCCAGGCGGGGCTACAGTCCAAGTGCACGACCAAAAACGTGGTATATGAACTTACCTGCAGTCACTGCGGCGACACCTACATCGGAGAAACGAGCAGGCCAGTTAGACTCCGCTACAACGAGCATCGGAGGAACGGCATTAACAGAGAAGAGGACACTCCCCTAGGAGAGCATGCGCTGCATAAGCACCCTGAGATGGATCGACGCGACATCTCGGTGACGGCCAAAATCCTGCGTGTATGCAAAGACGAAGCGGATAGAAGAATCGCTGAATCCATCTTCATCCGAGACGCCAGGCCCAAAATTAACGATAACACTACATCATGGCAGCTTCTTCCAAAATAATGTATATAAATGTGTGTGAATTGGTTCTTGAAAGATACCTATATATGTACTGCTAGTTTAACTGGGGAATTATGTGTAGATATATTTTTAAGGTAGGAACTAGGGTGATCAATTTGCACGGGATCTGTGTATTTAAATTTCTTACTGCGACATTACTGAAGAACTTGAGACGAATTCGACATTGTGTGCCTGTTATGTGTGTAAATAATTACAATCGACCGACGAAGAGCTGTGCTCGAAATATCTCGATTTTTAATACAGTAATTTATTTTGGCAATTTCATATTTCCATACAGAAGTGAGGATAAGGTCAGCCAGATGCGCATACTTATCTTTTCACATCAGAAACATAATGAAATTGACATCCAAAGTCCGTACAAAAAACGAAACTGAAGCCAGGAGCTCCTTTCACTTTGAGCTCACCTTGACCTTGACCTGTCACGGGACACTGACACGGGTCACCCACCTGTTGGCTGTTTCAGTTTATCTGGTCCGTAAGCAAAATCGTTTCACCCTTGTACGCGTCCTCAATTTCGAATAATTAAGTATGATGAAGTGATTGTAAAGGGAAAGCAGCCGTTTGACCACGCGTTTGACGATTAACAAGAATCGGAAACGATCGAAAGAATCTCCCCAGAACCTCTGCCGTGGCGCGGAGTCGGCGGCGGCGTGTGATTGTGGATTATATGGAAGCACTTAGGCGATACTGAAATGGGAACATGTGACGGGAATCTTCAATCTTCCTTGACTTCCCTTCATAAATGCCCTTTTTGTGACATGTCCCTCGACATTTTTGACGCCTCATCGTTTCATGAGCATTCCATCAAAAGACTTACAAAAAATAAAATAGCAGCTTTTTTCCTTGCAGCTTGATAAAACACAAATATTAGTCGATAAGTATAAAACAAATGAAAACCATTGATGAAGGGATCCTTTACTCAGGGGTAATATGGCACAAATACATCACTTCACTGTGGTCTCATGACAAAACCTAAACCTTGAATATGCTCATCACAACGTATCACCCCGCCCCCTTTATTTATTTGACGCTTTTCTATACAACTGCAACGTGAAGGGCTTCAGCTTATTTTTCACCAAGCACACTTGGGCTTTACTTATTGTAATGTATATCAGTGGGGGAAACTGTGGTCAAATCTTCTATTTTTGGAAGCCTTCCATTTTTGGAAGGACCTTCCATAAATGGGTATGCATTTTCCAAAAATGGAAGGCTTCCAAAATTGGAAGGTCTAATCTCAGTGTTCCCAACTGTGATTCACATTCTTTGATTTAAGTTACGGCCTTTTTAAATGTGTAACATTAATAGTTGATTTTGCCATTTATGATCATTGATATAAGGAGAAGCAGCAGTGCTAGTGTTGGTAATACAGGCATGCTATGTCAATGTACATAGTGATATAATAGCATGGTGTCCTGGCGCACTGCTCTCTTTTTCTACTTCTAGAGGACACATAGAAATTCAGAAGAGAAAACAGCTGGTCAATAACCAACCAGGAGGAACACAGCTATAGCCCTGACAAAAAATGGTTTAAATTAAACTTACTATTCCTCATATAAATTGAAGATTCATGCTCCTTCGATAGAAAGTAACACGAAAAACGGCGCAGCAACGCCTATTTAATTCGTCCCATATTCCGGAAAAAAACATTGAAAAATGACGAGACCTCCACCCAAATGTTTGGCAAAAGCCTTAAAAAATTGAAATCAACCACACAATATGCTAATAAATGCAGAAAACGGCAACAAATACAAGTTTTACTCGCCACTACACTCCCGAAACCGCCGCACTCTGTCCAGACAATTCCGCACTGTAAATAAAGTCGGCGGTATCGAACAAGCATGGCCCGTCACTAAAGTACTTTTAAGGATATTTACTTTTCGTTTTTGATGCTTTTTGCTTACAAAATGTTTGATAAAGTCTTATAAAACCATCGTTTGTCGGTAAATTTTTGTCAATTTTCCACGACTCATTACTTTGAAAAATTACCTAAAATACATCCACGCTAGGATTTAGGCATCCACGCTAGATTATGGACACTTCACTATGGCGAATAGAAAGCGACCAGGGGCGATAGTCGCATTTGCCTCATGTTCGGCGGAAATCGGTAAGTTCCAACATATGCGCAACATTTTCTATATTTGGGTACGATGACGTCGTCAGCGTACCCATTTTTGGAAGGTGCGTACCCATATATAGAAAATCCTTCCAAAAATGGAAGGCTTTCTAAAAATGGAAGATTTGACCACAGTTTCCCCGACTGATATATTGTAATTTGGGCCTGGTTATTACTCATGCCCCTCACCCCTGCTAATGAAAACACTGAATTATTGTTGCTGCTGTGGCAAAAAAACTATTACAATTGTATACTTTTACCACCTTTCAAATATGGCATTGTGATCTGATGGTCTTGTCTTTTTCATGTTCAGTTGAGTTCTAGTTGCAGTGATGCACCACATATGGAAGACTGCTGGCTGCAGCAGCAGGCTGGGCCGCTTCCAGCAGGTGGTGTGGTCCCAGCAGCTGACACAGCCCCAGCAGCAGCGGCACTACCATGCCGAAGAGCGGGGGGTCTATGGCTACAAGCCATCCCCACCGAACTCGTACCAAGGTACTAGCTGAAATTAGAATGGCAACCTCAGCAGAATGGCCATGGGGATCAGGATTATCGTTAACCTTGCAGCCACTATCACTATTAAATATTTTCACTGACCTGAAAACCCTCTTGTCACCTGGATTCTGAACTTCTATTTCAGTGATATAGTAGCAAGCTGTGAATCATTTTTATAGTGACTGCCCATAGGTGCAGAGCCACTGAAAGTCCCTTCTGCCGCCAGTGTGTGAGGAGGCGTTGGCATCGCGCGCCCGTCAGGCAGCCATCTTCCGTTTGGTGGAGGCTTACCGCACCCATGCACACAAGGTGGCCACCTTCAACCCGCTCGCTGGTCGGGAGGTCAGGTCAGTCATTGCAGTGGCACCATTGGGTTGGGAGGCAGCCCCATGGGGTGTTGGAACTGTTTGTGGTAAGGGGCTGATCTATGCGCTGAGTGATGGAAAGGTTCAGTGCAGCTTGCAGTGGTGTGGAAATGTGTGACTTAGGTACTATGATTCAGAGCTTACCTGCTTCAATATGTGTGTTAAACAAATGTTACCTAGATGAGATTTGTACCACAATTCGCACTGAGGCTGATCAGCCGCACGGTAACTCGTGTTAGGGCCGTCTCTGTCACTCGGTTACATGGTCCGTCACGCTTCGCAGTAAATTCATAGCGTGACCGTTTCCGTGGCTCTCGTGTTGTCTGATGATCCTAACTCGTAGCGTTGTCGCCTCTGTGGCGCACCGGTCTGTTTCTGCCGTAACCGTAACATGCCGTAACATGAGCATCTCATACTGTGGCCGTATTAGTGACTTTGTATTCTTTTCCCTGTTTCTCACGATAATTTACGGTGTACGATTGCCGCCCTCAGTCGTGCCTCGGCTGTCTTCATTATTCATACGTACCGCGGTTGTGACACCTTTCACCTACACCATGCCTGAATTGCTGTGATTTGTTTGATTGCTCGTGATGGATTGCACTGTGACTGGTGTTATCGTAAATCGCATCCATTCAGTTACTGCGACTTCTGCCCGGAGCTTTGTTGTGAAATGAAATGTACCGTAGGTACCTCGTTCGTGGTTTGTTACCGTTACTCGTGCCGTGAATCGTCTCATGGATCGCCGTACATCGACCTGTGCATTGAAACTTGCCGTGCCTCCTATCGTGACTCATAGCGTGACAACCTTCTTGATATCTATGTGTTTTATCAAGGTATCACATATAACTGACTGACTATGACGCACATTGTGAGCCTTATTGTGACTCCTATCGTGACTTCTGGTACCCTGACTCGTATCCTGATTGTTACCCTGACTCGTACTGTCACTTGTAACTTGACTCGTACCGTGATTCGTACCGTAATTCTTACCTCGACTCTTATCCTGCCTCGTACCTATCGTGACTCTTACCCTGACTCTGAACGTGATTCCTACCGTGACTCGTACCGTGATTCGTACCATAATTCTTACCTTGACTCTAACGCTGATTCTAACCCTGACTTGTACCGTGATTCATACCGTGATTTCTACCGTGACCACGTACCTTGACTCGTAACTAACGTAAGTTAACCGTGACTCGCACCGTGACTAGTACCGTGATTCCCACCGTGACCACGTTCGTCTTTCGTGACGGCCCAGGGAGCTGCCGGAACTGGAGCCGGCCCGGTACGGCCTGTCCGACGGTGACCCCGTGTCGCCCGAGGGCCTGGTCTCGGCGCCAGGGGTCAGCACGGTCGGACAGCTGGTGGAGCACCTGAAGACGGCCTACTGCGGCCGGCTGTCGGCACAGTTCACACACTGCGCGGTACGTGAGAGGGATGGGGAGGGGACTGGTCAACACACTGCGTGGTGCGTGGAAAATGGAAACTACTGTAGGTTTGTAATGCTTGTTTTCCTTGGCTAGAACTGAGACAGCTACAGCAACACCGTACACGTGTAAACTATGATTAGAAATCATTGTGGACCTCGCAGGTCATCCCCTCAGGGTTTTGAGTGATTTCATTCCTCTGGGAATGCAAAGATGACTTGAACAGTGGACACTGGACACCCATGGCTAAATCTTCCCCTCCTGCTCGCCCTCCCCCTCAGACTGCCGAGGAGCAGGAGTGGCTGGCCGAGCGGCTGGAGACGGTCGTCTCCGAGTCGCTCTCCAGCGCCGAGCGGCTGAGGATCGGCGAGCAGCTCATCCACTCCCAGGTGCTCGACAAGTTCCTCTCAGTGAAGTTCGCCACGGTGAAGCGGTACGGTGGCGAGGGAGCGGAGGCTACATCGGCCTTCCTCGGACAGCTGCTGGCGCTGGCCGCTGCAGGTGGGTAGAGCGGAGGAGGAGGGGAGAGGAGAGGAGGAAAGGAGAGGGAAGCCTGCTGGGAGAGTCCGTGGGTGCCACTTAAGGGTGCGGTGATGATGATGATGATTTGGAGTGACAGGGCGCACCAGCTGCGAGGCTATATCGCGCCCATTTCTTATTTAACTTTCTCAGTGTCGGGCGTTAAAAATCACCTGAAGGCCGGAGGCCGCAATAAACGAAAAGAGACGAGAAGAGTCTAGCAAAGAGGACTCGTCACCTAAGACTGCTCTCAAAGAAAGCTGGGCTCCGCGCAGGCCCAGAAACTTCAGCCGCTCAGCTTCCAGTCTCGGACACTCCAGAAAAACGTGTCGGACGGAAAGTCTGTCGCCACATCTCGCACAAACAGGTCTTGGGCCGACGCCAATAAGGTGTCCATGGGTACCGAAAGTGTGCCCTGTGCGAAGCCGACAGAGGATAACCTCCTCTCGACGCGACTTGCGCGACGCAGACAACCAGGTTGCCAAACCCGGTTTGATGCGTAGCAGCTTGTTTGTCTGACATTTGCTCCAATCCTCCTGCCACTTTCCGCGGAAGAATGAGCTCACCGCAGGGAAAAAGTCCCTGGCCGGTAGAGGGAACCGGCGGGAGCAGGGCTGCCGCGCCGCATGGTTCGCAGCACGGTCCGCCCGCTCATTGCCAGCTATACCAACATGGCTAGGAATCCAGCAAAAAGTCACTGAGGTACCCTCTCGGTCGAGAGCCGTCAAACGGAGAAGAATCTCCTGTACGAGGGGGTCAAGTGGATAGATTGTGTCAAGGACTGGAGTCCGCTCAATGAGTCGGAGAGGACAAGATATGACAAGATATGAGGGTGCGGTAACGTTGATACAAGCCATTTGAGGATACAAGCTACAATTTGAGTCATTATGTACGGCTTTAACTGCCATGTTTCATGTAAGCATACTCGTCTTAATGTTGCTCCACTAGCGCTCAGTAACACAGGATTCCCCCTGGCTCCCTCTCCGGTGTACTGAACTCCATCTGCTTGGATGAACCTCTGCTGTCTGGCTTCAGCGACTCCCCATGTGCGACCGACCCCCGCCCACCCCGATTGTGCTTATCACCTTCCTATCCCCGGTCTGACCGGGGCGCCCTGGTGTCTGGTGTGACATCCTGCTCCTCTGCTCTCCCCGTTCTGACTGCCTCCCCCTCTCTGGCCAGCCGGTCTTCGCGAGGTGGTGACGGCTGCCTCTCGGTCTGACTACCCCATCCCTCTCTGCACAGCCGGTTTGCGCGAGGTGGGGATGGCCGCTCCTTCCCCCGGTCTAGCCGACCCCCTCCTGACCGCCCAGCCGGCCTCCCCCGTCTCTATCTAGCCGGTCTGCGTGAGGTAGTGATAGCTTCCTCCCAGTTTGACAAACCGCCGGTCTAGCCGAGTGACCGTACTCCCTGCTCCCTCTGTCTGCACAGCCGGTCTGCGCGAGGTGGTGATGGCGATGGCCCACCGCGGCCGTCTGAACCTGCTCACCGGCCTGCTGCAGTACCCGCCCGTCCAGATGTTCCAGAAGATGCGCGGAATGCGCGAGTTTCCAGACGACGTGAAGGGCATCGGTGACGTGCTGTCACATCTCAGTGAGTCGCGGGGGTGGGAGGGGCAGAGAAGGAAAGAACAACGAGATGTGTGAAAAGGTTTACGGATCCGGTGCCGCGGATTTTTGGAACGCGGTGGACACAATATTAAACTGGATAGCAATTAGTCATCGCATAAGTTATTGTGATAACATTTTTGTATCAGGGTCGCGGTATTTTTCGTGTTATTCGCTTTTTGACACAATGTTACTCATACCTTTTCCGTGTTTCAGATAGTAACGTGGATCTTGAGTTTGACGGACACAAGATACACGCGGTGCTGCTATCGAATCCTTCTCATCTTGAGGTGGGTTATAGCCCATCTGAATTATGCATAGGTTTGTGGTTTATTGGCCCTTAGTGACTGACTTAACAGATATTTGTAGATGTTCTTCTTCCCACTGTTATAGAGATGCTCGTAATGTGCACCTGGTGGCGTATTATTCATTTTCTCTGTAATATTTTGCAAGTTATGTCATGGCAACGTCGTATTCACTATTCTTAATGTTGCCCAAGTGCGTCATATATCTACCACATTGCGACATATATCAGCCTCGAGAGCAGTTTCATAACATCACCGCGAGAGGTTCCATGAGAAATAGTGGTCGTTTGGCGGTCAGACACTGATTACTGTATGCCTGGTCTATTCAAATACATTAGCCAGAGGGGTGTGGTAATAACTGGTGTAAGCAAATTGACCACGGTCAAAAATGCATTACCAGAATGCACTTAAGCCAACATTTTGGGATGTTCTCGTTCCTAAGTCGGCTAAGAGCTTCGGTCCAGAAAATAAATTTATCGTTGGCATCGTTGGCATACAGTAAAATACATACCAAACTCGGCCGGTGATAAATTTTCAAGACCTCAGTCCTTACTGATTTTTGAACTCGGCCTTCGGCCTCGTTCAAAAATCCAGTAAGGACCTCGGTCTTGAAAATTTATTTACACCGGCCTCGTTCAGTATTATATATTACTGACTTCTGTAACCAAGACAATACCCAAGACAGCTGTGAACCTTTGGCGGTGTCAATGACCACTGACCTTGACCTGTGACATCATACCTGGGCCCGGGAGGTGACCTGTCCGACCTGTGACCTGAGGTCGTGTAAGGGTCAGGGAGTTGACCTCGTGTGACCTCTGCTCCCAGGCTGTGAACCCTGTGGCGATGGGTCGCGTCAGGGCCCGGGAGCAGACTGCCGGCTATGGCGACTACTCCAGCCCGACCAGCCGCTCCGAGCCTGGTGACCACGGACTCTGCGTGCAGGTTAGTGGGTTCGGTCTGGCTGGTGGGAAAGTACGCTACACTTAGAAGCGCTAGTTTATCAGTGTCCCATGTTCTTTAGAGAATCATGTGTGCAGCACGGCAGCATTCCACGCCTCAATAGTTAAACATCTTCTGAAGAAATCCTCAGAACACGCGCGGTTGTGTCTGTATTTTCATTTTCAAATTTGGCGCGTACTTTTGCTGTGTTGTTGTCTGCTGAGCGCTAACCATCATATACCACCCGTTTTGTTCTTTTTTTTTCCAGATTCACGGCGACGCGGCGCTCTCGGCTCAGGGCATAATCCAGGAGAGTCTGGCCATCTCCAACCTGCCACACTCGCGTGTCGGCGGCTCTATCCACCTGGCCATCAATAACCAGGTGGGCTACACGACGCCTGAGGCGCGCGGCAGATCGTCCAGCTACTGTACCGATGTGGCCAAACTGGTGGACGCGCCCGTCATACGCGCCAACGGAGACTTTCCCGAGGTGAGGACTGGGGAGGGGAGCGGAGATGGCGAGGGAGGGTCTGTTGTGATGCTATGGTGAAGGATTTTTGAGTAGTAAAAATCACAGGGCGGTTATTTTTGGGCGTGTTTGGGTTTATTTGTCGAGCATTCCCTCGAATGTCATTTCGTGCTGGACTATGCCGTCACCTTGGCTTCTGACTCGGCCTGTCTGTTAACAAATCACTGTGCTGCGTTTGTCTTTGATTCATCTTTGGCTTTGATTTCATCCCCCTAACGGGACGCTGCGTCTGATGAATATGCCACACACGAGAGGCCGGCAGCAGTGACCCACCCTTCTCTCCGGCTCTCTCCCTCTCTCACCCCCTGTCACCCTCTCTCACCCCCCTCTCACCCCCGACAGGACGTGGTGCGCGCCTGCCGCGTGGCCTTCGAGTACCGGCAGCGGTTCCGTCGTGACGTGTTCGTGGACCTGGTCTGCTTCCGTCGGTGGGGACACAACGAGCTGGACGACCCGACACTGACCAATCCGTCCATGTACCGCAACATCAACACCAGGGTGTGAGTGGGGCGACGGACCGGGCGGCAGGGGGTCTGGAGTGCCCTGTAGGGGATGATTTGGGGGAATAGGGGACTTGAATGCCGGGGGAACACAATATGACTGCAAGGCTACTTTTGCATTCTTTATGGTCCATGCTTTCAGTAAACTTCGAATTTTGAATGAATGAACTTGTGTTAGGGTCCTCTAAGCGATGACACATTTCACAGTCCCCTGTAGCTTTTTTCGGGACTGTGCTGACTGTCCTGTTAGAACCCCACCCCGCGACTGACTGTGCTCCACCTGTACCCAGGAGCGTGCCGGACCGGTTCGTTGACGCCCTGCTCGAGGACGACCTGCTCACCATGAAGGACGTGGAGCGCATCCAGGACCAGCGCTACTCGTGGCTCAACCAGCAGCTCGCGCAGGTCGACTCGCACGTGCCTAAGGTAACTAAATAAATTTGTCGTAATGAATTCGGTAGGAGGGCAGCGGCCCACCGACAGGCGAAGCTATCGAAGCTATACAGATAGATTGAGCTCCGGGGAGCCTGGATTCTTGATGGGGAACTAATTGAATCAGTGGTGTTGCGTTGATTAATGCCAGAGAAAATGACTGTCCAGCTTTCATTTGGCACATTGAGTATGCTCACTTACCATCGCATATGTCTTACAGTTGTCATGTCACTCCCCGGTCTAATTTCCTCACATTGCACTGCTCTCACCCTGTCTGTGCCCTGTCCCCCGCCAGGCGAACCACTTGGAGGGCGGCTGGCGCGGCATGCAGCAGGCGCCCTCTGCCGTCACCACCTGGGACACGGGCGTCGACCCACAGCTGCTCAAATACATCGGCGGACGCAGCGTCGAGTGGCCCTCAAACTTTGTGAGTTCGACGAGAGGGTAGAGTCCCTGCGGCTGGGGAGAGGTGTAGCTCTGTCGAATGGCCGTCAAACTTCGTGAGAGGCGGAAGGATAGAGTCCCTCAACGAGGAAAGGCCTTGGAATTTGTCAATGGATCGCTGTGCTAATATTTTTTTTTTACCAAACTACTATCGCTGAGCTGTCTTTCATCTCCTCAGGCTCAATCACTATTGCTTCTGTCTCCTGTTTTCTTCAGAACATCCACCCGAACCTGCAGAAGATGTTTGTGAAGCAGCGGCGGGACCGCCTGCGGGCCGGCGAGGGGCTGGACTGGGCCACCTGCGAGACGCTGGCGTTCGGCTCCCTCCTGCACGAAGGTAGGGGCCCACCGGCCGCCACTGCGTCCTACCTGGAGAGAGCGACAGCGTGACGACTTAACCTGCAACCATAGACTGCAGTCCATATCAGTACAGTAGTCCATGCTGCAACAGAGAAAGTCAGGGTCAGTCAAAGGGTCAAAGTCAATGAGTCAGTTACTCATTGTGTCCCGAAGGTAGGCTTATTGCCCATAACTCACACACGTACGTTTTCAAGGTAGTCCAAGTTTGGCATTACTCTCTATATAAAGGGTTCTCTACGCTCTGATGTTCGATATCGGTTGTGCGCAGGTCTTTTGTGATCGCACGCCAGCGAGTGATCCCGTAACATTCTGGTGAAACTGAACAAAAATAAGGGGATGGCAGGTGGCAACAAGCATCGTCTGCTGTTACTCGATATTGTTATCTGATTCAGCTTCAGTTGTTAGGCACCCGGGCGGGCCAAGAGATAAGATATTAGTTTATGGCACGGCCTGCACGTTTGCAGCACATCTCCTGTCACCCTTTCCGCCGATGACCCGCCGTGTGATTCCCCCGTCACGTGTCCCCCCAGGCACCCACGTGCGGCTGTGCGGCCAAGACGTGGGCCGCGGCACGTTCTCTCAGCGGCACGTGATGCTCGTGGATCAGACTACGGATCACGTGCACGTGCCGCTGAACAGTCTGACGGACGAGCAGACCGGCTTTATTGAGGTACGTGTCCCGGACGCGCCCATAGAGGGAAGAGCTCATAACTCAGTTTTATAGCGGTGTAGGCGAGCACTGGCAAAGGTCGGTGACTGTTGTACAGTCATGGGTTGACGATCGATAATAATTTCAGTTAATCGGTCATCAGTCTGGAAGTCACCGATGGTCTGATGAGGATTTGTTTGGGTGGAGACGCCAGGCTAACCGCGAAGCTGGTTTATCTGTGAACTGTACTTAAAGCTGAATAAAACACGCATGGGTATGTTGCTTTGCGGTCGTTTATCTTGATAACGCACGACAAACTCTGCAACCGTCTGCCTAAGTACGTTATTGTGGTACGTAAGATTTGAGGTAATTTGGTTATTCGGTGTTTATATGCTGTCATGCATTGCTCGTGAAGCGCTTTGGTTCTGTGAAGTGAGTTTAGTGCAGCTGTTTGATGCGGTGGCCGTAATTCTGAAGGTGTCTACTTAACTGCATGAGAGTCTAGTTGACGTCAATTCGTACGTATTCGTGGTGGTCAATCACAACCTAGTACGCGGTTATACTGGACGTTTTTAGTTTAACTGATCGCGCTCACCAATCACGAGTATCCTGCGTGGTATTGTCGCCTAGCCAAAGTCAGAACTCGCGTGTTGGCAGTGCGTGTCAAAGTTGGTTGTAGCGTGCGTAGAAGCCTGTTTCCCAAACGTGTCGATCAGCAGTTGTATGATTCGCGACTGATTGAATTAGCAATAGTAACGCGTTCTGGTTTGGCGGTAACTCTTAAACATGTCCTGTTTTATGTCACCCCGACTAAACGTGCTCTTCTTTGTTTCACCAGCACACCAGCGCTAGAAGTTACACCCCTAGCGTGCTCCTAGCGTGAAGTTACACTATTGTTCCCTAGTGTCGCCCCCAACTCATCGTACCCCGACCTATCTGTGTCTCACCAGGTGGCCAACAGCGCTCTGACGGAGGAGGCCATGCTGGCATTCGAGTACGGCGTCAGCATCGAGTCGCCGAACCGGCTGTGCATCTGGGAGGCACAGTTCGGCGACTTCTTCAACGGCGCCCAGATCCCGATCGACACCATGTTCGCCTCCGGAGAGGGTGAGTGGAGAGCTCAGGGGCGGGGTAGAGGTGGGAGAAGTCGGCCTCAGTGGTGAAAGAACACCAGAGCTGAAGGAAGTCAGCCTTAGAGCTAAGGAAGTTCGCTGCTGAGATATTATAGAAAGTCCCGTGAACAGTTATGCCCACTGTACAGCGTGGAAACTCCAACTTAGACTTGAAGGAATTCTACCTCAGAGCTGTGGAAACTTGGTGGAAACTGCTTCAGAGCTGCAGATTTGATCGGTTTCCCGAGCCCAGCTCAGCACTAGTAGCTTGTGGCTTTTCTTCAGATCCATTGCTGCATGCTCCCAGTGCATCTGTTACAGCGTATCGGCTCAACCCCGAATCGGGCCGGCCAAGTCGAATACGAGTTCGAGTATTTTCCAGCGTCTTGAAAGTTGTTTTGCTTATATTATTAATCCTCTTTAATCTATGCATTGTTTACCCAACAGAGACCTTCGCGCTATAGCGGATTATTGGAATTTCCATAATCCCATGCTGGCCACACGCGGTGGGCGCCGTATATTTTTGGAGACAGTTGCTTTTTCAACTGGTTGCATTGTAAACAGTGAAAGGTCGTAGCGTGCGCTTGTGTTGTTTACAATGATTGGGAATGTCCTAACACCTCAAGCCTAAGCTGCTGATATAAGACATGGAAATACCGATCGGTTCAACTTGTTTCTGTTATAATACCTCAGTGTGGGTATAAGAACAAGGGTGCTTGAGCGCATAATAGCTAATTTTTATGTAATTTGCCTGATAAACTTCGTCGTTAAAGCAATGCCCGGCACTTACCCAGCGTCGAGTGCCATAAACAGAAAAAAGGAAATTACTGAAAATCACTAATGAGGATTTTGCTTATTGGCTGTGGTATGCGCGTATTCCAAATGCTCACTGATCATTCTGAACTTTGACAAGAGTAGATAAGGAAGTCTCTTTGAATTATGAGCATTGGTGCTCACTTTTCACTTGTTTTCTGTTACGAAAAGCTAATTAGTTGACGTAACAGTATGTAATATTCAAGTTATTAAAGAACAAAGGCAGCTCGCTAGCCGCTTCTGTTGAAACAACGCCGTACCAAAACAGGAACTTTGCATTTCACAGATAACACCATCCACGTAAATTCCCATGCATGACGTCTTTATTATTAAATCCGCAGCTTAGGCGCTAACAAAATGAATCCATAAAATGCATAACCCACTGCCATATACCCCCAGCTAGGCAGACAATATCCTGGCGATATTGATCAGAGCAGAGTTTGTGAAACCACGTCCATTAGGGAGCGAGTAAAAAAGTCTCGGATGACGTAATTTCACTGTTGCCAGCGGCTGTTGCCCCCCTGTCCGATATACGAGTACCCGCGCGTGTCCCGACATCAGCGATGACCCGGGGTCGATCGGCCGGCCTCGTCTGACCCGCGCCGCAGTCCGGACCGAGCCGGAACTGACCGGGTCGGTCCGGTTTGGACTTCTCCGCCCCAGTGTCTGGGCGGTGATGTGGTGATCGGGCAGTCGGCCAGGTCAGGAGACGTGTCAGGTCATACGGTTTCGGTGCGCCGCTGAGGATGATGAAAACGGGCCGGGGTTCGGCGGCCGGTGTGGTCGAATCGTAATAGACAGATTTTTGTGAGGAGTCTCTGGGAGCTTGGTCGCGATACTGCTCATTTTTGAAACAGGCAAGTTTGTTCAAATGCAACTAAAGAACTCGTGTATTATTCATGGATAATTGGTTCATCTGTCGTTGCATTATTCGTGGTCGCACCAGTTTCGATGCTGAATAAAGCTGAATTGTGGGTGGAGCAGGAACCAGCTGTTTTCAGATTCAGCAGTTGTAAGTGGTGCTCTTCTGGCCTCTGAATTCTGACAGAAAAGGGCCTGCCTTCCGCGTGGTATCTACAAAGCTGGAAAGGTATAGACTTGAGTGCCCTCAGCTGCTCACCAAAGTGAGGCGTAAAGACGGCGCAGCTTAGTGAAGGAAAACTGTATGCAGGATCACCGCATAGTATGAACTGATCTGAGATCTCTGCGCATTTACATTTGCGACACACACATGAATGGGATGGGCATGAACAATGATCACTGCCCACTGCCCAGAGTGCGTTCTACTCTGAAATGTTACTTTATCGTGTAATGGCCGTGCGATATGAGAGATATCACACTGCAAATCCATGTGTGAAAGAGATTCGCCTGTGACGTGCGATTGATTGTCGGTAATGATCGGCGATGGCGTTTTCCCTTGATGACGGAAATTACATTTTGCATATTTTCACCGCCATTCCCCGGGCACTTTCCACGCCAATTGTCGGCCTGTTGACCTTTAGATGCTTACCTCATGATGCTTGCTTGCGTCATATAATGCCTGTCTCCGGTTGTATTTCCGCTCAATGTTGAACTCTGTTCGCTCTGATAATGTCCTTGTTTACACGGAGTAATGACTGGTTTCTCCCGATTGACAGGCACAGGAACTAGTATCTTATATCTGTATCTTATATCTGTATTGTATGTGGCTATTCTTTTGAGCTTATTGGCCTAGCATCTAGCATGTTGGGCCTAAACTGAACAAAATATTAATTGTCGAACAAGAGTCTAGGCACAGCACGAGGAGTGGACTTAATTCATGCAAACAATCGGTGCACATAAGCTCTGGTGTGGTGTTTCAATCACCATACGTAGATGGAACGGTCTCCTGAAAGCACATTTCTTTGTTTCGCTAAGCCGTGATCATTTCACGGCCACCGGCGCGGCTTTGTGACCTTTCCCTGCGCAAGTATGTGCACGACGGTACCCAGTTCTTTCGAACGGCCCGGTAAAACTGCCGTCGTGCCGTCCACTTCAAACCGGGCCGCTCTGCCGTGGCCGGCGGCCGTTTGATCCTCCATTTTCCCCGCTCTCAGCATGAGCCGCTCTCGATGACGTCACACATACCATGTGCACACTGTTCTCCCTAATCTGCGACATCCTTTCGGCGGCTTTGTTGTCGCCACTGAATCGTGACTGCTAAATAGGCACGGGGCGTCCGCCGAGCGCCCCCGTCCGTCTCACTAACGAGCCTACACGGCTGCATGTCCGGATCGCGGGTAAGCCGACACCGGCGCTGCCATGTTAGGCGGGTGCGGCCGGGCTCATTGTGGCACGTGCCTGGTCAGGAGCGGGGAGGGAGGGTCAGGTGAGTGACATGATGCGCCACAGAGAGGGGATCGAATCTGTCATTACCCAACAGATCAGCGGTGAGTGTTGTGTGGTCATGTCCGGGCCTGAGATGCGCCATATCACCGTGACTGGGAGGGGTGGTGTTGAATTCTGCAGGGTGGTCGGGGTTCGTAGAAGGGGTGTGACCGTGTAGTAGAGTAAGGAGCGGGCCGGGCGCGATGTAAACACGGATTGACTGAGCGATAGGGGGGATGGAGGACCCCGCGAGAGCCCCCGTGGGCCCCCTGGTCCTCCCCTCTCTAGGAATGTGCCCTGTAACGGTGCAATAGCGGTGTCTTTTGGGAACATTTTCCGTCTCAAGATACTGTTGTGTTTGTGTATAAGGACGGATCGCTCAAAAGGCAGTGGCCCTGGATAGTCGTGGAGAGTGAAGGGTGACTCATACCTTTCACACGATACTTCATGTTTATTGTGTTGTTCTTATTTTACACGTCTTGTTCAAGTTTCCTTCCCTGTAGGTAAACTGCTTTGTATGGGAGAATATGGGAACTGGTTATTCTATCGTTCTCATCTTCATGATTGTTGTCGGTTCTCTTGTTTCAATGAATCACATACAATATACATATGACATTATTTTCTGCTGGGAACAGACCAACAACCATTGCCATCGAAGGTCAATCAGTTGAAAGATTTGCCGACAAGCTGAGCCATTCCATCTGTTCGGGTCACGATTCCGTGGTCTGCCAGCCCACTGCAACAGAGCGGCCGGCTCTGATATCATTTTTACCCGCCGGCACCGCTAGCTCAATTAAAACACAAACACGGGGTCATTGGGGAGAGGCGTATCACCTCTGCGGCAACACTGACAATGGCCGGCCGGAACGGCGTGCGTCCTTTCCTTCCTGTTTGTGTGCGGAGAGTGACGCCCGCCAGACGACAGTGACTTTGGTGACAATCGCAGATAGATAGGTACCCAGTGACCGCTATGTAGTGACATGAGTATGACTACCAGTGACCGCCAGTGGCGGCAAGTGACCCGCAGTGACAACTACCTCTGACATTCAGTGACACAGCCATCAGTCACCTTCAATGACAACCTCAAACGACTAAGTGATGACCGCCAGTGTCTTTCCATGACTTACAGGGTAACTGTAACGACTTACAGGGACTAGGGAGACTACTACCAGCAGCTATTGCATCGGCAGCATTCAAAACACATAGCCTGGACCGCAGTGAGGTCACTTCCGCAGTCTCCGCGTTACGACATGGCCTATACCGGCGACTGGTACGGGAAGTGTGACCGGACCCGGTATTGTCCTACGACGCAGCAGTATTGTGACCTGACCCGATCGGGACGGGTAGAATCCGATCCTTATTGTTGTGGTGTATGTCACTTGGGCGAATCACTGCTCGGACCGTTATTTAGACCACAGTGGACCCTTATTTGGACAACAGGTCGTGAAGACGATTCAATATAATCATGGTTCAAAAGATGTGAAATGGTAATGTCAAATATCTCATTTCGTTTTTATCACACGCCCGTCCACTCACTCACTCGCACACTCACTGACATTCACTCAATCTCTCACTCACTCACTCACTCACTCACTCACTCACTCACTCACTTACTCACTTTTTCACCTCACACAAATCCCTGCCCCTTCCCTATCTACCCTCCCAGTTCTCAGTATCTGGAGCCCGTGCGGCCCCTCCAATGACGTGATGGAGCTACCACCCTGTTAAGAGGCCCTCTACTGTCGTGTTGATGCATATGTCTAGGTGACTGATTCTTGTTTGTGAATGTGACGTGATGAGACCAGAGTTGTCGCCTCATCGTGACATCGCCACTCTAGTGCGTCTTTTTGTTAGTAGGTACAGGGCACGTCATATCGGATAACACACACATATACCTTAGCGTAGTCCTTAACCTAGATATCTGTGTAACGTATAATGTGATTGTGTCATGTTTATGTAAATATGAGGAAGTGAGTGCTGGGACATGAACATTATGTTTCTTATAACCTTCGCCTTTCAGGTTATCCACGACTGAGTACACAAATGTCCTTTGTGTTACGCATTGGAATGCATAACACAAGGACATTTGTCCTTCAAGTCGCTGTACCTCTCGGTGTGTACCCTGTACCCTATGTGGTACTCGTCGCCGTCGCAGCACCCTCCCTGACCTGCTCGTACCCGCTCTGTCCGACAGCCAAGTGGCTCTACCAGTCGGCTCTGACCATGATTCTACCGCACGGGATCGACGGCACAGGACCGGAGCACTCGAGCTGCCGCATGGAGCGCTTCCTGCAGCTCACAGACTCCAAGGAGGATGCCGTCGATGGTAAGTACCGGACCGGAGCACCAAGTTCACTGACCACCGAAGTACTGATATTATTATTGGTGTGCCGCTGCTCTGCTCTTTGCCGGTACCGATACCCGTAATTCCCCGCCTCGTGCGTTGCTGGGTATTCTGTTACCCATTGCTTCTTCAGAAGTCATTACTTTCACCCATGGCTCATGCGAAAGCCCACCGCAGCTCATGTTACGCCAATTACTCCCAAGAATGAGACGGCTGAGCCGTCTGGCTGTCCGCCCCGCCCCCCCCCCCCCCCGTGTGCCACCGGACGCTGCCCCGACCCCTCCGCCCACGCCTGCGGTCGGTTGGCCGCCTCCACAGCGAGCCCCGGGACACAGCGGTCACTGCGGGTCACCACAGGCCGATAGCGCACGGTTCGCGGGAACAGGGGCCTACGCGGGCTGTGGTTTGGGGTCAGCGCGGCGCGCACGAGCCGGGGTCGTGATCAGTCCCGATTTGCAGTCAATATTTGGGTTTAAATTCGGGAACGGTTTTAGGATAAGTTAGCTGCTTTTGTTCCTCGTATGGGCTCATGGTTGTTATGGTACCGTTTCCTGGCTAAGCCTGCTGTCTTTTTTATAATCTGCTGTCGATTGTATCAGTTAATCCCTGCTGATCTGATTGGTAACTGAAGTTGCATGAGAGCTAAATGTGACGGTTTTCTCAGCTGCAGGCGGCAGTGACAGACTTATCAAGACTACGCGAACGCTCTAAGGATATGTTGACATCCTGACTAAGCAGGCTATGTTTAGTTCCTAAATGCTATGTTTCATACTCTGACAGCTTAATTAGCCACTAGATGTGTTACGGAATTACTTGCTTAGATAACTCTTAAAAGCAGCCAAGCTGCTACGCGCCCTAACCCAAAACAACAACTCTTAAAAGCAAATTCGTTAAAATGTCGTGATTCCTCTAACTCGCCTATAATGTCTGACCCAGTCCAATAAAAGATACCTCATCAGACAAATCATCAGTCGCCTACCGTTACGATCTACCCCTGACCCGTGACCCTTGCACTGCACTTCTCAGGTGACGACGTGAACCTGCACATTGTCAACCCGACCACCCCGGCGCAGAACTTCCACGCGCTGCGCCGGCAGATGGTGCGCAACTTCCGCAAACCGCTGCTGATCGTGGGGCCCAAGATGCTACTGCGGCACCCGCAGGCCACCAGCTCTCTGGCTGACATGGCGCCAGGCACTCACTGGCTGCCCGTCATAGGTGAGAGGGGGGACAACTCACTGAGTTATTGGTGAGACGGGGGGGGGGCGGCTCTCTGGCGGACCTGGCGCCAGGCACTCACTGGCTGCCCGTCATAGGTAAGATGGAGAAAATCCTTCACTTTGACATCGAGAGAGTGAGACTTGGGAAATAACACTGGGAAGCTGTTGAGATGGGGGGGGGGGGCTCGCTGGATCTTAGTTATAGGTTTTTTTTTAGGAGACGGTCGACGTTGATGCAATCCAGATGAGGGGACCAATCACGGCGCCGCAGAATAATGTTGGTCGGGAGAACGTTTTGAGAAGTGAAAACGTCACTGATTGATATAGGGCGTGAGGCGGAGAACTGTGAAAGTGATGGAAGGTGTTGAAATGAACTGCTGGGTCATCAGTGGATGATTGTCAGTTGCCACATGTAAAGCAGCGCGTAAGACAGTTGAGATCATCACCACAAATTCGATCAAATTGTGATTCAGGATATCGATAACTACGGTAACTTGTTGGATTTACTTTGGCTTGCCTCTTTTACTAATGGAAATTCTCTGACGAAATGCATTAGTCCTAATGCCGAACCGCGCGAGCCTGGGACGGCTGGCGAACCGAGAGAAGCAGGCTTCACGGAGTGCGTAGTAGCCAACTATTCCCCCAGCGGGGCGCAGGCACCGGATATTATGGATCCACAACTTGGTTTTTCGACATCCAAAACTATTGCGCGCGTCCGTCCTTAGCGCACAGCTGCAAGGATGTGGTGAAGTTTGGCGGGAATCCTGGCGCGATTGCGCGCGCAGTTTGCCAATCTGCACTCCGGGAGTGTTCTGGAGGGGTTCCCTTTCTTCCGGCGGTTTGGCCGCGGCGTATCCGAGGTTGTTCCGGCGTCTGCGGCCGCGGGGCCGTATTCTGGGTATGTCGGACGTGATACGAAACCTTCCGGTGGCGTCGGTACATCCTCGATAGAAAGACTAGCGCCGCGCAGGGTCGGATGTGGGGCGTTTGCTAACGTACGGACAGGACAGTCGGGTTTCGTTAGTGTTTGTTTTCTTTTTGTATGCGACTGGAATCAATGTTTTTGTGCTCAACTGGCAGCTAGTTACTCCCACGTCGAAGGCATCAGTTTCAGAGTACCTTGACGTATTTTTCCAAGCACAATGGGTCATTTGATGGAGGCTTATGGCTATCAATAGCCAGCTGAACTTACCGTCTGTAAGATGAAAAACTGAAACAATCTACGTCTCTGTCACCCCATTCGATTCTTGGTCAAAGACCCAGTTCATTGGGAACACGTGGCATTAGATCGACCTGACTTTTGAGCTTTGAAACGTAATGGCCGGAGGTTTATCAAAATACGTCTGACCTTCGGTTGCTCAATGACCATCGGATCGGCTTAGTTTGGAAGCACACCGCTCAGCGCTGTCCCTCAGGAGCTATCCAATACCCTCTGGCCCCCACAGTGCAGGATTGCAGTGCGCCACTGCCCCAGCACTCGCCTGTCGCTGGGTATTTGGGTGGACCCGATCACAGTGATCAGCCTCTGATCAGCCTCCAACCACAGTGTTCAGTCACTGATCAGCCTCGGATCACAGCGATCAGCCTGTGATCACGATCAGTCCGCATGCTGTTGATTTCTGTCCGCCGAGCCGCTGGACGGGCTGTTGGACCGGACCCGGCGGCCGCTGGGCCGTTCTGGGAATGCGGTCCGGTGTGACATTGAGTGAGGTGGACAGGGTAGAGTGGTGTAGCTGTCCCTGACGGTGACAGGCTGTGCACGCGGCGGCCGGTCGGTGGCCACGGGATTCGCCGACGGACCTGCAGACGAACCAAAGTATTGGACTGCAGGATTGGTGGACGGATGGGCTGTATAGACGGACTGCGGAGCAATAGATCGGTGTATTGGCCCACTGCAACGATGGGGAATTGACTGGGAACTTAACTAACCGACGGACTGACTGACGAATTGTAAAAAGATCGTGTGACAAATGCCGGGAGTTTTGATCGAGACCGACTCGTTTCGACTGTGTTGGCCTCGCAATAAACGTCGTCTTTCCAATGCTTTATGCGTAGCGTATGTTATTATGGACTCGGGTGACGCATGAGCGAGGTATTATCGATTAATGCTGTTGACATGTCTCGTTTAGCCGCGATTAATGGTTCTGGATACATCGCTTAGCACCTTTCGGTAGTTGTTATTCCTCGTTCACGAACCGATCGTTGTCTGGCCGGCCACGCGCGGTGTGGAAAGCTCTCAGCCCAGTTACCGCGTCCGTCAGTTTTTGTCACCCGTGCGGCGCATTGCACGGCGCGCCCAACCCTGACATGATTCAACATCGATACGAAAAACTCGCCGGATTAGTCTGAGCCGCAAGGACGCGGCCACTCCTCGGTACTATGCCGATTGTTTGTTTTGCCGGGAGCAGTTGTTTTACACCGTTCAGTGCGTATTAAATCATCGCACAAAGGAAGGTGCGACGGAAACAATGCAACTCGGGCACTCCTTGATTTTCCTACATGCCGGGGTATGTCTTAAGCACAGCACGAGCCGGGCAGTAAAACTATGACCAAGAAACTGTCGGTGTCAAAATGCCATGTTATTTGATAGGCCGGGCAGGAAACAAAAGTTTACTGCCCGAGTTTACTGCCCAGGGCAATGACCTCTTAACTACAGTCAGCCCCCACCAAATCTTATCTGGCAAAGGAGTTCAAGCCCTGATGACGTAAGTCATAGCAACCAAGAGTCCCTAGCAACCGGAAGTGGAAGGGACACCTCTCGCAAACGATCGACGGACGATGTTTCGTCAGCAAGTCCGTCAGCAACCAATGGCAAAATTTCCGGCTCCATTGAAGACTTATGAGTTTTTTTTCTTTTCTCTTTTGGGCTCGATTTATCGGTTTTTGTTTCTGGCATTTTTTTTGTTTGATTTATTTTATTTGTTTTTTTTTAGATCAGCTAAATTGGACATTTAATAACACAACGACATCAAGCCAATCACAATAACCCGAGTCGCTTAAGGTCAGGTCACTCGGTCACGCCAATTGACCTTGTCTAAGAAAAAGACTCCTTTGGACCAAAGTCAACTGAACACTCGAATGAAACATCGAATGAAAGATAACATGACACACTCAATCGGCAAATTGCGACCGTGACCCATGCAAACATGCTAGTGCTACGAGAAGAGTGAAAACCCATTAGATTTACTCAGCTCGACAACACGGATCGACTTGCAGCATGATCTTATCTTTTCTAGTTAGGCCATCATCTTGACCTTAAGCCAAATTTCCAAAATGATCTTTCGAGATCAAATTATCAAATGACCTTTGTCCTGTCACCTGTGAACTATTACTATTTCTCAAGACCGTGTTTCTCCGAAATCGCGATTCGGCATATGAGTCAGCTTGCATAATGCATTATCCGATTTGTGAAAAATTGTCAAAATCGGGAACAAAAATGCATGAATAGGTAGGCATTTTACATTTCGTGACCTCCAGTCACCTCAGCGATGACCTGATAAAAAATGACCATAACAATTCTGAAAGATTTTATAGCCAGCTTCTATTGCTTTTTACCGCGTCTTCTAGCTTGCTTACTTTTGGAGATAACCTGGTGTGGCCAAAAAGGCCCCCTCTATACCATGGAGAAGTTGTCTGAGAGACCCACCCGGGCGCGGGTTTATGTTTGTCCTGAGTGTGAATGCTTAGGTCAAATCAGAGAGCTTTTCCAAAAAGGGCGTTAAAGGAGCTATCGGACGCACCTTTTTGCGTCGCTGTATAGATCTAAACATGCCCGAGTCATGCGCCAGTTTGTTGTAATTGTTCAGATAGGCGAACTTCGATTATTTCTGGTGACCTGACTTTTGACTTGACAAAAAAAAAACGGATGCATTTTGTTCATGATTTTTTTTACGCTATGACGAATGCCGCTCACCGCGTGTCTTTACGTGGCCTAGAAGCCTACACAGGGGAGTGAAAACGCCCACCCTACCCAGCACTTACGAGAAAATTCAGACCACTAGCACGGCGCGGATTAACCCTCGCCGGACCTATTGGTTTTCTACATACGCGCCGGCCGAGGGGGGGGGGGGCGGGTACGACCCCCCCTCGCCGTTTCGCCCCTGGTGGAGCTAGCGCGTCGCGGAAAAAACGAGCGTGTGCGCCGTTACGAGACGCAGAGATTGGTACCCGATTTTAAGGTCCTAGGTCAACCGGTGACCTCTGAGGTCAGGTCAAGTGCCCCAGGGCACGGTTCAGTTTTTGTTGAATAACTTCGCAAAAAACGGCCGCAGAGCCGCGATTTTGGCAGCATCGTGTTCGCCTTGATCAGGCGCATCGAATGATATACTTTTTGTCCGGGTCAGGTCAACTTGGGGTGTTGACCTCAGGTCAAGGTCAGGTCAGCACCCCCAGGTCACGAAGTTGGTCGAAAGAGGTCATGTCGCATATCATTCGATTCGGCAGGTCTTCCTGAGTCCATTGGTGGCTTTCCCGACTCGCTAGCTCAATTTGATCGGGAATTATTGACGAAAAACTAATATGACCTTGATGACGTCATAAATGACGTCACGAAAGGTCAACATTGCAAAAGTGACGCATCTAACCTTGCAAGGAGTGCATCAAATCACGATTCTGTGTGCTTGAGATAGTTGGAGATCGTTTCCGGCGCCAGAATAGCAGTTTGAATTTTTCCCCATTGACTTATAATGGTGAGGTCACGAAAATGACCTGACCTTATATGACCTTTAGGAAAAATCCGAGATATACAAGTTGTGAGACTCATAATGGATACTAGATCCTGCAAGTTTCATTTCCCTGTGACATCTCCTCTGGCAGTGAGGGCGTTGCGAAGTTGCGACATCTGAAGACCGTGCAGAGGTTCACTTATGACGTCATAGGTCAGTGACCTGACCTGACCCAAAAATGCGGTTGGTGTCAAAAGATGCGGCTTGGATCAAAGGTCAGGTATGCCAAGTTTCAGCTCTCTATCGCCAGCGTGTTCGGAGCTATCGCGAAAAA